CCGTCTACATGCTGTTGTGCACTTTATTTTTGGTAAGAGCCTTAAAACATATCTCTAGTCTGATCTGTTGTTCAAAGTTTTGTTTTTTGAATCTGTTTTACTTAAACGTTTGTACAAAAAATCTCTAAACTTTGTGTGTCAGAGCTCTACTTCATGGGTAGTTAAAACAAGTTTATATTGCTTCACGGCTATTGTTCAAGGGTATGTTTTTCAGTAAAATAAGATTGGAACATTGAAAGTGAATTGTGACCTTGTAACGCAGTGTTGGTTATAAAAAAAATAAATAAAAAATCAGTATCGGCCAAAATCGGAATCAGCAGGTCAGACTTCTTAAAGATCGGTGATCGGAAATCGGCCAGAAAACTGCAGTCGGTGCACCCCTAATGTTAAGTAAATACATCTTCACAGCAAGGTACCCCTGAATTCTTCAACTTTCTAGCTGCACAAGTATAACTACTGGCATCAATGAATGTGTTTTTGATCTTTGTTGTTGCTGTTGCTTTCTGAATAATTGTTCTATTTGGTCAACTCAGGCAAAACAGGAATTTTTTATACCACAAGATATGGGTTGAGGGAGAGCATTTGGCAACAAGAAGCTCTTCTGCTTGCCTGCTTGGTGGTGATAATGTAAAAACCCTGAAAGAATCATGTCCTACTCTGCCAAGACAGGCGCTCCGTCATTGGCATGGGAGCATTTTTGCTTAACAAGCAGGCCCTGCTGTATATTTACAGCTGGTTCATTGCTACGATATCCAGAGAGCCACCAGTGATAAACATCTGCTACTCAATGTAGATTATTACACAGTACAAAAAAAGGACAAACACATATGTGGAGACCAAATCTAAACATGTCAAATAAACATCTTCAAGTTGATTAGAATAACAAAGGAATAAACAGCATTTGAAAAAAAAAATGTCACACTTCTTTTTGGGACAAAAACAAAAAAAAAAAAAAAAATCATCAGTGATGTCACGATCCAGTTCCAAGTATGAGATTGGTGTCCCAATCAAGGCATATTTTAATGATTGTTAAAGATTAGCTGACTCAACACCAAATCCCTTTTACCACCTCATGGTCTCTGGGATTTTTTGTTAGCTGGACCAACCGCACCTCCAGTATCTTTTTACCAATTTAATTTGAAATTTAAAATTAAAATATCCCAAATTATACAAGCTTATCCTCTGTAAGCAAGTAAAGTGAGGCGAAACACTCAGGAGGAAACTCCAAAGAGAAAAGAAATGTTTCCAAAGAATCTACACAGGGAAAAATTTTGATCAGGAAGAGTTAAAGCTTAAAAGAAGTCCGGCTTCAGCTGCCACAATCTTTTAGTGTCACTATTATGATGCTGGATCTTTGTTGTTTTCTTTCATAACTAAAACAAAATGAACATGTAGCTTTGTTTTACCACATTTCCACTTTATCTCATATACTTTCACTAAGTTTGATTACTTTTAATTTTCTATGAAAATGAAGTTTATTAATTAAAATATTTAAAATGTAAGTAATACTTAAATTACCAAATTACTGATGCTTATTTCTATTTGTTTCATCTCCACTCACGCTGTAAAAAAATTATTCTGATATCTCATCTATGTAACTAATTGTATCAGATTTTTTTTTTTTATATAGCTCACAATGTTTGGTGTCACAGTAGTTAAAGGGGAAATCTACAATACGTGGGTTTCTTTTTTGTATTAACTGAATCAATTAAATTGCCACGGTTTTAATCACATCTGTTATATTTTAGAATCAAATGCATACAAAGATTTAAGTAGAGGCCACACTGTGTGCCTTCTACATGGTTGTTCATCTGAGAAGAGTCACATATACAGCTACGGAAATGTAACTCCCAAATGAGTTCAGATTCCACAGACTTGAACGATAAGCTAGATAAACATCTCTGTGTCATGCTTGCCCTTCATTTCTGATGGTATACATTTGCAGAAAAGGATCGCTCTTCACAGCTTTTGCTGACAGGAAGACTTGTCTTAAAGCTTTGTGCATGCATAGAAATGTCTCCAATCCATATTCTAGATATATATTTTAGATGCTTTGACTGAAGCATGTTCATGTCAGCTCTCAACAGAAAGCTGAGGTGAATCAGTTGAAACTTAAGACTCTTTTTCATCTTCAGGACTGGCAGGAGAAAGCATGGTGATTTTGTTAGTTACTTTATTCTCTGATACGCTCTGGTTTTAAAGATAATGACACCAAATCTGAATAGGTAATAGTTATTCAGTCTTAAATTAAGTTTCCTGAAGGCAAACTCCGTTTTTTTCCAGTGAAAAACAGAGTTTGCACTCATAATTGTGATACACTTCGTAGTACTTTTTGAGATTTGCTCGACTTTGGATTATATATCTACATTTCATTTTTTATTTTTTTTTTTGCAAATCCACAAGAGGCCCAACATAGTAAAAATTAATGTTCAGTATATTAAACTGGAGAGCATAGTAGTACAGTGCATCTGTAAAGTATCACAGTGCTTCACTTTTACCACATTTTATGTTGCAGCATTATTAAAACTGTACATTCTTTGAAGTCGTACCTGGAGGAAACTAGGTACGACTCATCAGCAAGCCAATACAATCTCTACAATTAATCATGATGGTGGCAGCATCATGCAGTGAGGTTGTTTTGCAACTGACAGACTAGTAAGGATACAGGGAAAGATGAATGCAGCAACAGACAGAGACATCCTGGATGAAAACATGTTCTTAGCCTCAAATTGGGACCAAAGCACATGAGCAAGATCTCAAAAGGTGGCTTCAAAATCACGTGGCCAAGCCAGAGTCCAGACTTGAGTCTTATTGAACGTCTCCGAAGAGATCTGAAAAATGGCTGCACAGACGTCTCTCATCCAACGTAATGGAGCTTGAGAAGAACTACATAGAGGTATTTAATTTTGAGGAAAGAGATTAATTAATTGCAATTTGGAACAAGGTTGACCCATGTGGGAAAAGTGAAGCTTTGTGAATACTTTCCGGATGCACCGTTTATCCAAGTCTTTAGGGTAGACAGAGAAGGTTCATCAGCCATTGACTTCAGAGTAGATCAGCTGCTTTTCCACGTGAATTTATAAATTTCATATTTTAATAACATGCGAGTTGCTGTTGCATTGAATATTTCAAAGCCTTTTACAAACATGTGTATGATTTTCGCAAAAGAAAGAGATGTAGTTCACTGACTCAGTTACAACTCAGTCATCCATAGGCAGCAGAAGGGGAGAGAGAGAAAAAGAAGTAAAGGGTTAGAATAAGTGACACATGAATGAATAATGCTGTGAAGCAGTGTGTGTAGCTTTAATTGGATTTGAATGGGCTGTCTCTATGTGGACAAATACTGTCGGGAACACAGAATGCTGCACATTCAGACGTAAATCAGCACATACGCAAGAGACTGCAAGCTCTGTGAATCAATAATCTAAGTACTATTTCGAAACATTTTACATAAACTATACATTCCCAGCAGCCCTGACCTGTTGAAATGACTTTTAAATATAAGATGCATTCATAGTAACAGTGAAGAGGAAAAAAAATAGTAGCACTTTGATGTTAGATATAAATGAATCTCATTCTTTGTTAAAAGGATGCAGATTAGATTGCAAGAAATTGGCAAAAAAAACACGTACGAGGTGGATCAAAACAAAACAAAAAATCAAGGAGGATATCTAACAAGCACAGGACGAAACACTAAATAAAACAAATGGAAACTATGTGGAAACTCACAGTGACGCAACCAAGACAAAACTTTATGGATAACACTTAAAACACTAAAAGTGTGTTAGAATGGGAGAGCAGCAAAGATTAAACCATAGACCTCTCTCAAATACATTACAGAGGTCAACTTTGCTTTGTTTATGCGATTCCCACCAAAGTACTATACAAGACCAGTCTTTCTACACACATTTTTTGGCACTGGTTGGGTGACTGTGAACAAGTACAATGGGTAAAAACAGTCCATGAAACCAGAGCCAAGAAATGGGGGAGGAAGCTTTTTTAAAATAGCTATATAAATAAAAAAGAAGGAACAATTGCTAATCCCCTTCTCCTGGAAGATATGACAGTTTGTTTCGTTTATTTTTTTCTATCTTGCTGTTAAAGTAGAAGCCCCACATCTTATTCTCAACTGATTCTAACAAATTCATTTGTTTTACTTAGGTAGCACCAGTTCACCATAAATGTCATCTACGGGCAATTTATAAGACAAACATATCCAGTTCATATCCAAATATATGAAATCTAATTCATTCCAGATTCGGTTTATATCGATCTGTAAATACATCCATTCATATTTGGATTCACTTACAATAGAATTATAATGCAACCAAATTCAGTTGATCATTTAATGTCAATTGTAAGAATGACATCTAACCCAGCTGGTTGGTCACCAATTTGACTGTGATGTTTCTTTCTGAGCAAGTATGCAGTGACTGTGGACAGGAATGACTCCCCTTTAACAGGAAGAAACACTACAGAAACAAGTGAGACATAAGAAATTTACAGGACATAAAGGAGAGAGAAAGATACAAACAGAAGCAATTGTGTAAGTGTACGTTTTTGCAAAAAAGATTAAAAAAAAGGAAAGACAGAAAAACAAAGAGAAAGCTTTGTCAGCAACTGTCTATGATCCATGTGTTAGTGTTGTGTATTTTTAATTGTTTCTGTATTACTTATGGTATAGTCATAAGCAGTTCATTTTTCTGTTGGTTTTTATTGTTAAGAGTTTTAGTAGCTAGTTTATTTTCCTTGGGTTCAGTTTAGAGATGCAAGTTACTGATTAACAAGTTATCTAGGTAATCAATTGGATTAATTTTAGTGTAATAACTCATTCATTGATAAATAATCCTAAATCGATAATTTTTTGCATCCCTAGTTTGGTTTCTTATTTCTTGTGTCTTTTCCTCCACATATTGTCTAATTACGATAGTTATTACCTTTATTTAGTTTCTATTTCCAAGATTCCTGCTCTTTATTCTCCCTCAGGTGCTCTGCATTCCCTGATTGGACTCACCTGGTTTACCCGTCACTGATCACACCTTCTCTGTATTTCCTGGTTTCCATTGTTCCCTTTTGAGTTCTTCCCTTCAGCCTAGTTCCATGTTGTGATCTTCTTGTGTCATACATGTGAAGGCCAATACTCTACAAGAACAGAGAAATTATTTATTTTACCCGAGGCTCCAAGAACAAACTTCTCTCGGGTCAGAACATTTCATACTTTAGATTAGAAGAACTCAAGTGCAAAACTCCTAGTAAGCCAACTACTACTCCATATCATCCTCATATTTCTCTGACACCACACACAAAAACAGGTTCTTCCCAGAATACACTTCAAGAACAAGTGTGTTTCTGAGATTGCTTTTCTGCAATCTCAGAAACACAGGAGAATCTTCTTTTGGAAAGAAGAAACAGAGTGTATTGATGTAATTGGGTAGGAAATGTTCATTAAGATTTATTCCTCTTATAAAGGATATGCTGTTTCAATGCTAAAGTTGACAACATACATGCAACATGTTTGTTAAACAGCTGACTGCATGCTAACAACATGAGCAGAAAACCTGGCTATTTAACCAGCTAAATATTCATTGAATATCCCAGAGATATTCTATGAAGAGCAGAAAGACAAAAAGGTGAAAGTCTTTGTGATGAACATGTTTACTTCAAATGGCAATCTGCCCTGCTGAATGGATAAGAGAGTATGGACAATGGAGGTTTACTTCAAATGTACAGCATCTACTGAATTTAGACATAGTTTGTCTATCAATAAACCTTCCAGACACACTACACAGCATTGCTTATTTGCTCATGCATGGAGCTTCTATTCATAATCAGACCCCAATGAACACATTAGTGGGTAACACAAGATTTATTTTTCCTAAGGGTATTTTGGCAGGTAGAGGACCTGGAAATCAAACCCAAGACTTTCCAACTGTTAGACAAACACTCTTGCCAAGCAGCATGCCACAGGCAATCCTGGGAACCATTGCAATACAAGACATATGGGCTACATTGAAAGCAAGAAAAACAAACTACAAAATACAATTTATAAGCTTTGGGCTCCCAAAGCAAGTCATTGCTCAGGACTGAATCTCATACACAACAACAACAACGATTAAGAACACCGAAGTCTAAGATGGCAGGGAGAGTGTGTATGAGGCACATTTTACTAACAGGAAACAAGACATGGGTTTTCTACTGGTATTGTTTTAGAAAATTGTGCATTTATTAGGGCTAACATTTTCAAATGTTTTTTCTAAAAGGTTTTATAATCCTTGAAATGTAAAATGAGGTGACTGAAGTTTTCTCTAGCTGTCTGTAGCAAGGGGAAGGCCTACCACAGGGTTGTCTGAGGAAAGCTGGCTGAAAAATGGCTTCAACAGTTCAGGAAAAAAAACACAGAGAGAGCTAAGATCGAAATTAATGGACTGGCACATATTTTGCTAAGAAATACCCCGTCTGTGTCGTTTTGAATGATAAAGGTTCCACAAATAACAAGAACTTACAGTTTGAACAAGATGATTGTGGAGGTTCCTCCATCTTTTCCCCAGTGTTAGTATTTATTTAAATGTTTTCATATAATATATTTAGAATTTCACTTTTTCTTTGGTGGTTTTTCTTTGGTGGTGGTTATTGCATTAGGTTGTTTACTAATTTGGGTGCACACATTTAGTAAACACCTTATGTTTATTTAAGATCATTAACTATTTTTGTTTTGCTGAGTTTTGAAGGACTGGCTGGCAGAAGGTGGTTGGTTGGAAGGAAAACCAGGAAGTGGAACAGTCCATCAGGCTGCTGGAAGCAGGGGACTTGATGTGAAAGAATCTGCCTCTCTCCACTAATAGCATAATTGCTAAAACCTTTTTGGTATTAGGTTATTTTGGTTTTCATAGTTGTGTTAAAGTCAAAATGTTTTAGTTTAAATTAGTCATTTATGTTTATACATTATTGGTCTTTGTCTCCTTCCCTACCCCTCCTCGTTTGTGTAGGCTAGCCTGTTTGTATAAATTCCCCTATGTGTGTTCATTGTGAGGTCAGGTTTTGGTTCGTCATCTTGAGTTATGTTTGCTTAGTTGATTTCTTTGGGCCCATTTTGTTATATTTTTTAGATTTGTTGTTGAAACCTTTTGTTAAGATTTTTTATATATGCATTTGTCCTTGTGCTTTACGGGTCGGACCCTCACAATGATCAAATTCAGTCGAGGTTCAACAAACTCTGAATTGACCCTTTAAAGGTTTTCTGTCGGCTATAAAATAAAGTCTTAAATGTTAAAAAACATTCCTTTCAGGCCTTGAAAAGGTTTTATATATACACAGATTGGGTCCTAATTATATTTACTTTCATCCATTGCTTCTTGAATTGATTTTCATGCATTTTATTTTTGAAAACTATGCATTAGTTCTGTTTGTTGTAGTTCTGTCTGAGGATTTTGTGTTTTTTTATATTGTGATAAAAGGCCAGGGTGCAGTGGTGGCGCAGGGTTTAAGCACAACCCACATATGGAGGCCTTAGTTTTCGACGCGGATGTTGCAGGTTCGATTTCCGGCCTGGTGACCTTTGCCGTACGTCTTCCCCCTTCTCTCACACTTTCCTGTCAATTCACTATCAAATAAAGGCCAGTAGAGCCAATAAAAAAAAAACTAAGGAAAATTACATTACAAGGCCTGAACATTGATCCTTTCCTTTAGAATGCTCCTGCATGTCTAGTGTACTTTTGCATCAACACGACATAGTTCTTAATAATATAGGTAATTGAGTTAACTCAGTTATATTTACTGTCATTCCAATATGTCAATTTAAATAAAAAAAAGGGTAATTACATTTTATTTGAGGTCCTGAAGCTTTCAGAAACCCACCCAGGAAGCTCTTAAATAGATGGCGGCTTTAGTATTGTTATGGGTTAAATGTGTGAGCTAGTTGTGATGTACACAACCTTGGCATCTTGCATGGCTGATCTTTCAATGAAATCAAATCAATTCCACTGAAACTTCTTGTAAGCACAATTAAAATAATCTGTATCTGGATCTTTTTTGCAAGGCCCATAGCCTTTTGAGCAATCTAAGATTTATTTATTTTTTTTTTCAAAATACACAATTTAAAAATGTGATTGAATTATACTTACTTGTAAATAAATGAAAATGAACTTGACATCTCTGTTAGTAATAATGGTTGTAGCTATTGGAGACATCGGTCTCTCCTACAGTGTTAGCCTGCAACAGCTACTCTGAGTTTGTTCTGGGCATTTTGTTGAAAAGAAAAAGAGTGTAGTTATGAACAGAACCACTAAGGAAGATCAGAAGTTTAACTTTTCATTTTATTTTTACTTAGAAATATGAACATGGTGAGTAAAGTGAATTATTTAGTAGTATGAAGTATCTGTCTAGAAGCTTAATAGGTATAGCTCTGTCAAGTGTAACATGTAGCAACACATACATTTATGCATATACAAGCTTTTTTTAAACATATGAATTGTTTTGAGAGACATGCATTTGTCTTCTCTTTATGGTTTATTTTATTGTATTTAAAATAAAAATAAACTAAAATGATATGGACAACAATTTGTCTGGAAATAAAGAAAATGTAAAAAATAAATATATACCAGTTAAAACTGCCTGAACTTCAACTCTAAATATGATGCAGCTAAGGTGACTCATAGAACTTAATTGCATGAAATGGGCATCTAAGGTCACTTAGAGTTGTGTAAGCACACTAGATACCATGACATAATTAAAATGCAGAAAAATTGTACACACTGCCATTCCTCATTTGAAAGATATTTCACTATGGCATCATGACACAGAGCTACTTTAAAAGTGAGAAACCAGCAGAGGGAGAAATGAAGGATTCAAAATTAATAAAAGACAGAATGGAAAGAAGAACCGAGGATAAGTAAGATGAAGGTTGGAGGGGGTCTGATGTATGGGAGATGTGTTCAGAAAAGTTTAATTTCATGAAAGTGAAGGATCACTGCAGAGCAGAGAGCTGTAGAAAGGCACTGTCTGCCTGGATAAAGTTAGTTTATTTGTGTAGAATATTCACATCGCTGTTAAGAATCATGATAAAACGTTGAAAGTGAAGGATCAAAATGTACAAATATTTAAAATGCATTCACACCATACTCGATTCACAGGAAGCGACAATGAGAGCAAAAGCAAAGATGCAAACTCATACACTCAGTTCTTCGTCTTCTAGGATCCTGTTAAGTTGGTTAGATTAGAACTGAGAAGTCCAGGCTGCATTTGAAATTCTAACATCTGCATATTTGGGAAAGTAAAACTAAATTAATGAAATGAATGTAGGATTCCTCATGCATGAGAGCCCACAAGCTTTTCTTAAACTTACGTAGTGAAGGATGCTCTTCAAGATGAAGTCATGGATTCTCAAAACACACAAAGCATCTGTGCTGAAACCCCAAAGTGCATCCTAAGGTGTACCAGTACAGTACAGGCCTCTATTCCTCCTCCTCTGCCCCAACAGACGTGAACCAATGTGTGCTCTGGCTCAATAGTTCAGTAGCTCACAGCTATGTCTGAAGTTTAACCTTGGTTTGTTTAATGAGCTCGCATGTTTGTGCTGGCCTACCTCCCACAATGGATACATCTGGTGAAGTGAAAATTCAAACTTGCCCTGAGGTTTGAATTTGTTTGTCTGCTTATGCGTCAGCCCGCAGCACACAACCAGTCTGTCCACAGTGTTTTCCTGAATAACCTATGGTCAGCTCAAAACACTCCTGACCCTGAAGACAAGAAAGCAGCTGAAGTTGAATCATTTTTACCCAAGTGTCTTATTGTGTGTATTATTATTATTATTATTATCATTATTACTATTATTATTATTATTGCTGCTATGTCTCAAACACTACTAAGCTTCATCCCATATGCAATGTTTAAATCAACATGCCCAAAAAATAATTAGGGGACGTATAGTTTTATAGATGTAAATCTAAAATTTTGATCTGTAGCATGATGAACAGGAAATGTAAATAATTGTTCTGGATATGATATGCAATGTTTTTTGATGGGATTGCCCAACAAAGAAGTTATCCAATTAGTACAAAGCTAAGTGCTAAAACACAAAATCTATATATGGAGTGAACCTTGAAATACTGAATGAAAATCTGAATATATTGAGTGAAAGTCTGAATATGTGGAATGTATTTTGAATATATTGTGCAAATGTCTGAATATATTGAATGAAAATCTGAATTTATTAAATGAATTTTGAATATATTGCACAAAAATCTGAATATATGGAGTGATAGTTGAACCAGGTGGGCATGGCATCAATAATTTATGGGTACTATAATGGATTATCATAACTGTCAGCATGTGTAAAAGAATTTTTGCTGGTGTTTCAGATGTTAAGTCGCCTGTTTCGATTACAGGTGCACTTTTCTGGAATGTTAATTTACAGAATATGCAAGAGTGAATGAAAAAAGTCGCTTTTCCACTGGCAAGCCATGCACCAAGCAGTTTATGTGTGGTTCAGTTTTACCCCAGGTAGCGAGCTTCTCCATTGTGTAGTCTGTTCCTCACTACTAGGGGTGGGACATGGGTATTCAGCAGCTGTGGTCAACTCTGCTGGTGTTTTCAGCAACATTCAACAATAGAAAATGTCGACATACTGATTCTGATGGACTCAAGCCCTGATATTTCATTTTATCTTATAGAAATTCACTGATTACAGGTCTTCTAAATCATTCAGCTCCAAAACTTAACGCATCTATTCCAGACGCTGCTTGAGAAAGCTCATAATTATGACTGCACAGAGCAGCTCTCTGATAGAAGATGGCATGACCGTGGTTCTTAGCTAAACCGTAATGTTTAGCTATGAACTGTTTGTATGTTCTCCATGTGCATGAGTGGGTCCTCTCGGGGTACTCTGGCTTCCTCACACAGTCCAAAAACATGGTCTTCCTAAATTCTCCTAAGTTGTGAGAATGTGCATGCTTTATTGTTTGTCTTATTGGTCTCTGTTTTGACCTGTCTTCGGTGTACCCTGCCTCTCGCCTGCGGCGGCAGAGTGTCGGTTGGTCTGTGTTACCCAGAAAGCAGTTGGGCACAATATTGCAACACCAACACCGTGAGTGAAACAATGACAGGGGCAGCCTACTATATAAAGTACTCGAGGACCATTTCTTTATTAGTACACATCCATATTTGTAGAGCACGGAACAAATTGCATCCTGTATAGGTTCGGGACGGGTGGCAACCCTATCTGTAGTGTCTATTCTATGCGGCTTATAATGCGGCGCGCCTTATATATGAAAAAAGTTTTAAAATAGGCCATTCATTGAAGGCCTAATCTACTGACTGATAACTTGTGTAGGTTAAGAAATATTTCAATACATCTCATGCAGACAGCGGTATAACTAGTTTCACAGTTAAACTGTTAGGCATTCAAGCTGATGGGACTATTTGACAACCTGGCAAAAAAAGATAAATGTACAGAAAGACACAAAAATTGAGACAAAGAAAGGGCAAAGAGACACCAGTATGCATATGCGCTGGCAGACAGATGGACAGGCAGTTTGAGCAGACTGACAGAATGACAGATGGAGCTTTTATTAGGAAATGCAAGCTTTAACAGACTATTCGACTGGCAGAGAGACCCACCAACAGGCAGAAATTCTACTGGGATTCTCTAAATGGGCAGCAGAAAAGAACAGCTTTGACATTCTGATACAGAAATGGGGCTTAGATGCCTGGGGCCAGGTGAGGAGAGGACATTGTATCTCTGAAGACCATCGACACAGAGTAGGACTCAACTTTAAAGTGTGTATGCAGATGTGTGCATTTGCCCAGACGCCTGTGTGTTTGTGTGGGTGTGTGTGCCTGTGTTTACGTATCTGAGCATGTCCAACACTACTCTGGCCATTACTGGAGTACTGGATGAAAATAGAGAACATGCTGCCAAAACAAGGTGCTAAAAGTCTAAAAGTACAAATACCAAAGGATTTGTACAGTCATGCATCGACAGCATGAACATAACGTGTACAAATGTGTGCGTATGCACACAGACGGAGAGAAACACGTGGGACACAAGGACACAAAAAGGACATCTGTTCCACTATTTATGGTTTTATAGCAGAATTTTCTCAGTACATGTGGTGAATTATGACAAGAGAAACAACTAACCTTATTGTGATACTCTAAAAATGCCGCCCTGGCCTCTCAGAAGCCTTTTACAAGTGACAAATTGCATTCATTTTGTTGATCAAAGACACACTGGAGTGCACTCTGAAATAAAAAGGTAAGCAATAAGAGGGGTTTGTGGAAGTACAATGTATTTTGTGAAGTTTTTTTATTTGAAGAGCATAGTTTTGAGGTCTGCTGCTATTAAGTAAAAACATAAACATCCATTTGAAGGCTTAATAGGGAGCAGAGGATGTACTGCTTTGTAGTATGGGTGTGTGCGTGTGTATGCGTGTGCGTGTGTGTGTGTACAACGTCCCCCACAGGCCCTTAAGTGGTGTGTATTTATAGAGCATGTGTCTCTCTCAAGCCCAAAGGCTGGTTATATGAGCCCCTTCTAATGGCTTGGAGCATAAGAAACATCTACAGTCATGTTCTCACAAAACAGACACAAAGTCATGTACACACTCCTGAGTGCACAATCATGAGTACCAGATCAGGCAGTTAGAAATGTGGTTGTCCTGTCTGGTTTTGTATAAACTCAGGCCTCATTGGGTACAAGTCTGACCCTTTTTGTGAGTACAAAAGCATGGAGAGAGTTAAATCCATGCTTTAAAGTAGGACAATAAATTTAATCTACAATTTAGTAATTTTTACCTTTGCTATAAGTGGCAACATTTGAGTTGTTTCAGATCGAAGGAAAGCCTGAAAAATACATCACCCTTTCAAAACTGTAGAATTTTCTGGGTATGACATCTTACAACTACTGGCTTTCGTGTACTTTATTGAGATCCATTTCCTCCTGCATGGCATCAAGTCCTTTACAGTCCATCATGTTTTCTTTGAGGGTTGTTCTGTATTTTACAGATTTTTCAACTCTTACAAGCTTATCTGTAAGCTTAAAAAGCATTTCCACAGCACCATGCTACTGCCACCAAATCTCAAACACAGTAAAGAATGCTTCTCAGCAACCTGTTGGTTATATTCACATGAAAATAGAAATAAACTCCAGAACATTATCCTGGACTTCTTTGTCAGCATCGGAGCAGAGTGATGATCTTTTGTCACAAGGGTCCACAAAGTTGCACAAATACTTTGTAGAATGTGCATGTTGAAACCACTACAAACTACATTTCTTTTAGAATGATGTTTGCTTTAAGGTACAGTTAATTTCAACACACCCACCCGCTGCTCTTGGCAGGTCGCCCTCGATGCGCAGCAGGTTGCTCTGGTGACTCCAGGCAGCAACTCTCTGACTTTGTGGGATGGAGGATATGCGACGACACTAACGGGGATAGACTGTCAGATTCTCAGAATGCAGCTTGAGCTATGTTTCCAGATGTCAGACGGTGTTTTTATGCAAGTGTAAAGCTGCTAGATTAGAAACTTGAATATGCAAAAAGCCCAACTTTGAACATGCCGCACATTATTCCGGTAGCTTTTGCCAGGGTTTGCAGTACTTCTTTGAGATATTAGTTACACATTGTTTCTGCAATTTAAACTATCTGACATTCTCCACACGGTTTCTAATCCTTCATCTTAGAAAAGTTTGTTTTGTCTCATGACTGCGGCTAGTCGACCTGAAACATGAAAAGTCATAAAGAACCAAACGACAAGTGTAAAAATCAACTAGCTGGTGCAACCTCTATTATAAGGTTTCCTCTTATAATAGTCTTGTGTCAAATGTTCAACTAAATATGTTACAGATTTCTTTGAACAATGGCTTTCTTTTCATTTTTTAAAGGTTAGATTTGCGCAGTGGATAAATAAAAATGGTAAAGTCATTAGACGCTTGCACCTGATATGTTGATCTTTGCAACTTCTCAAGAGATACCATTGGGATATTGTTTATATAACTTAACCAAACTTTAATCTTCTTCACAACTTTATACCTGGCCGGTCTGGTTTATTCCTTAGTTTTTATGACACCATTTGTTCCCTATTGTTCTCAAACAAATTTCTGAAGGTTTCACAGAACAGCTGCATTTATATTGAGAACAAATTATACACAGTCATTAATTTGGTGACATCAGGAAGGAATTAGTTGCACTACTTAATGGCACCAGAGAACATTCTATTCCAAATTTTTGATACTCTTAAAACAAATCTTCACAACTGCATGCTACTTTGAATTTGTGCATGTCAAAAAGTCCTCATAAAATGAAGTTTCCGATGGCAGCATAACAGAATGCAAAAGGCTTTGAAGGGGATAAAGAAAATCTGTGGAGTTCAGATCAAAAAACAGTACTAGCATTTTGTCGCTCCTTTTCAGCCATCTCTCTGTAATCCACAAAACAGGTCTTGTTGGTTTCTCTTGTCCTTTAGCTGAACTGGGGTTATTTACGGTAAATTAAAAAAGAAAAGGGCCATATGGCTTTGTTTGGGTCTGTACGGAAGCCACCCAGTGCATGTGCATTTGAGCTTTCAGTGCTGGCCTGGCAGCACTGAAACAGCAGCAATTTAACTGATGCTTTCACCATATGGTTTGACTGATAGCATTAGAGAACCTGCGCTGAACCTGAAAAAGAGGCAAGCGAGAGAAAGACGGGGGTAGTTTGGACTTGAGCTGGAGGGCAGGATTTGCAGTGGAGCCCCATTATGGTATGCTGGTATGCAAATCACTACACACACAAAGACACAATGTGTGTGTGCAAGTCTGAATGTCAACAAACCTAGTTTAAAAGCTACATAATGTCCACATTGTACATGCATGCACATTAACAATCATGATCATCAGGGTGAATGCAGAGAAAGACTTGCAGGCTTGTGGGAAAGGTGTGTGGACATGCACGTGTGTGCGTGTGCGCACATATTTACACAGGTATAAGTGCAGCCTTATCCGGTATCCTTGTTTCAGCAATCTAGGTGATTTATGCCTTGAATACTGCAGTGTTTTGGGTGGGATCTCAGGGAATTCACTGCCATATGTCCCAATTTTCTTCCCCCTCTCTCTATACACACACACACACTTAAAACGCACTATGCATACCTATAAACAAACTATCAAGACTTTTTTACACATCTATGGAATTCTACACATCCACACACCATAACTAAAAGGCCAAGGTCAAAAGAAGACTATGGTTTGGCTTCAAAGTGTAAAGTGGATTGAACAAAGGGCATAATGCAGGCATTCTGAATTTTCCGTTCTAATTAGGTCATCTTTGGCCTCTGATTCGGGTCAACAGACAAGTTGGAGGAAAAAGGTGAAAAAGGACAAGGAGCAAGATGATTTATTAGCATTAAACTGACTGATAATAAACAGTTTAGGGTACGGTTAATTTTTTGGAAATTATTTTATTATTATTATTATTATTGCTGCAGATATGAATCACTCATGGGTGCCGATCACTGATACCGATCACACAAATTGGCTGTTAATTTTCTGGTTTACCTATAAATCATAAAAAAAAGATGCACTTTGAATTTATGTATGTCAAAAAGTTCTCATAAAATGAAAAGTTGCAGATGGTAATGTAACAGGATGAAAAAAGTTTCAAATGAGATGAAAATCTGTGGAGTTCAGGCCAAATTGCTGATTAAAGACCTAATGCAGTACTTCTCAAACAGTGGGTGATGTGTCAGGGGGACAAGAGGCAGGAGGACTTATTAATTAGAGATGTGCCGATCGATCGGCATAATCTGAAAGCACACGGGGCCCGTGACCTCAGCAGATTGATTTATCTGATACAAAAGAACAAAATAATCCATGATAGGAGGTTCATAATTGCATCATTGTTTCCACAAACCTGTTTTGTACAAAAGTGACTGATGGTACAGGAAATATTCATTTCAAAAAGTGTTGGTGACTGTCTTGGCGTTTATCTTCAAAAGCCATAAATTAATGATAGGTGTAAAGTACATTAGCTTATAAAATATTTTAGGTGTTTGATAATTTTTTCTTACATTTTTGACAGTTACCTGGCATGGATGACCGGTACGACACTGAAACAAAAGGTTCTATACATCTGCAGCATTATTTAAGCTGTAAGTGAGTCATGAAACACGCCGCTAGTGCAAATGTTTTAACATAGAAGATTGAATTAATAATAAAATATCCTAGAAGCAGGACTTACATATTACTGTGCCGATGTGAAGTCAGCCAAAAAGGAACTTCCCACTCATACAGTAAAGCAGTTTTGTGTGTCAGAGATGGATTAGCA